TATCTGCGAAGGCAGGCCAACTCATAACTTATGTGGCCCAATAAAGCTAACGAATCAACCTGCTGTGTTAAGAGCTTTTTTACATCTAGCTCTTTAGACTTTGTATTAGTCAAAGAATGAGCTGTTTGCAGAGATATAAGGGCAGCTTTCCGAACCGATTCTTGTATTTTCGAGACGTTTAAATCCGCCCGTTGTTGATAGTGCGGCAGTTTTGCCCAGATTTCTGGGTTTACTGTTAGTGAGCATACTGTTGTGCAATTGGCGGGTCGCTTGTATTTTTCTTGAATTAATGTCAGCTTTTCAGGCGCTAGTTTTTTATTCCATCGGTTTTCCGCTATAGTAGCTTAGGGGTAATATCATCGCCGGTAGCTTCAACATCTTCAAGCATTTCCCCTAAATTCGTAAGGGTTTCATCGGTTGAATTTGTATTGTCATTTGTGGCGCCATCTTGAAGTAAAACCGATACATTATCATCATCGTCTTGCACATGTACGCTCACTTTATCCTGCTCATGATCGGTCGTTTCGCCCCTATTTTCAAGCCGAGTTTTGCTGTGTGACCTTCGCTTTCGGCGTTTACGACCCCGACTCTCATTTCCAGAACCCGAGCTAGCTTCTGAAGATGAGGACGACGTTTTTGAGCGCCGCTTTTTGCCTCGTCGTCTGTGCTGGGATTCTTCAACGTCTGGTTGTTGAAGTGACACTACATTTGTGTCCTGAGACTTTTGCCATAAGTCGCCCAGCATCATTGCCATGTGGCTCATAGTTTGATTTAAATCAACTAATGTTTGAGCCAATTGTGGAGTTTCGGACTGTTGTGTGTCCTGGGGCTCGAGGTCATTCGGCTGTGAAACAATCTGTTCTGTGTTGTCAGTCGCCATAATAAATCTGTTTTGGAACTAAAAAACACACACATATATGTATAAGTTTTATACTTACGGTTTTTGTCCCACGAAAGTCTCCGTTATGTCTTACCTACTCGTCAAAATTCTTCTGAATTTTAGCAAAGTCAAAGAGGAGAAATCACACAAGTGTTCTGATCAACAAGCTGCAAGCACTGATCAGCGAAGCACGCACGCGCTTCTCATGTGACTCCGTAGTGACGTGACTGATGACGTAGTAGAATTATATATTATTGATTTTCCAAGAGCGGGCGCTTATTGTTCGCTTGACCACAGAGTAAGGATATACAGAGGCGGAACTCGAGGCAAATCATGTCCCCACTTTTTTAATGCGCATGCGCGACCCTCTGGCAAGTGTCATGCACATTTTTTATCAGGAAAAAGATAGGGAAATGCAAAATTTTGGCAGTAAAACGGCGATTTTAAGCGCAGTGACCGATCAATCTTCATTTTCTGCACGAATTTTGCAAATAAATGGCACACTGCGTCTTCTTAGCAAAAGGGAATTGAACGAATACCATTTTTAACGGCGAAAATGAGAAAAGACACCCGAAGGAGTGAGAATTTCTGGCAATCTGAAGATTCGATTCTGTAGACCTGAACTCCAGCTGGAACTTGGCAACTTTATATGTGAGTTTTTTTTCTCTAGCTCATATATATGAAATTATCAATATATTTTTGTGAAGTGCTATGTTGTATGAAAGGGTTGTCGTTAATTTAAACATTGCATAAACAGCATTCAGATACGAAAAATATGAACATCAACGTTCAACATGGACTGATGGACTTGGAGCCACAGTACTCTAAAGTTCTCATATAGACTTTATTTAACTTATATGTTGACCCAATGGTGAGGGATTTGTCAAATTATACTTTATAGTGATTCCCCTAGACTAGTGCATTGGTTATTGTACAATGACAACCTTTTTTTGGCTCTCAAAGGTCAATAATTTCTCAAACATGCCAAGTCTGTACATGTTTAATATTAAATCTAATCTGTTTATTTTTTATTTTGCTTTTCTAGATTGCCAACCATTCCTGTTGAACTACATTGTTCATTACAATGAATCAGATGCAGATTCTTACAACTATGTTAATTTGTTCTTCTGATTGGGGAAAACCTGAGACTATTTGATCTTATTTTGGAATGCCTACCAATTTTACATAGCCTCAGGCAATGTTTATATAATTAATCTTGAGTAATAGAGATGCTGTACCCCCTGACGGAGTGACCTTACTACCTGGATCATCCCACTAGGCAAGACAAGTTCAAAACTTTCCATGCAAACACTTGCATGGCAGTTGCTATAATAGGATATGAATATAGTTTTGCCTTGCCAGGGTGGCTCGGGGGGGGGGGGTAAGATTTCCCTAGTACCCGGAGACCATATAGACAGGCCGTCGGATTACTGTAATAGTTTAATTGAGGTTCAAAAAAGCAGCCCCCTCCCCCAAAGTGGTAGGCCTGCTCCCCAAATCCAGCCCCCCTTGGAAGATGTACTGTAAAGCTAGACAATTTTACTTGTTAACCCAACTTTATTATTCTGTCTAACACTGGGCGATCCAGTTAACCCATTGAGTTGCATTGCATGTGCCCTGATGCACCCTACTTTATTATTTTACTCTGTCTAACGCCAGACGATTTTACTTGTCAAGGGGTGGGCACACTTTAACAGGCAAAGTATTAATTGGGAATACTTTCTCTTTTAATGGGAAACTCTTTATCAATAAAAGGAACAATGCAATTATTCATAGTATTTAATTTTTCATATAAAGCAAAGACTGTAAGAGGAAACATGGATCATTGGCTACTTTCTTTATTTAGTATTAATTTTCATGACAACATGTGGGGTCAACTATAAAGGAAACAGTTATTGCCTATTTTGGAATAAAAAATTTAGAATATAGCAATATTCATTGACATTGAACACATATTTAATTTATTTAGTTTTTGAATAATTTAAGTTCTTAAAATATGTATATAAATGTGAAATAAAATAAACAACATTTATTAAAATAAACTTTGTATTTTTAAACCCCAATTACACTGTTGTATTTACATTTCACTGTTGTAGTATTTACACTATTTGATTGCATTTCACTCTAGCCAATCTGATTTATCTGCAGGAAATGATCAGACAAGCCCACCACTAATCCAAGCAGTTGAAGATACCGACTACAAAACAAATGAACAAAACTTAGTCTGCATGAACTTATGTGTCAGGCTATTTATTAAGGAAGTGCCTTATCCAACATAGCTGTCCAATATGCCATCATAATTTTGTGACAAAGGATGTCAATGACAGTAGTCTCTGCTATTCTGCATGTGAAAGACCTCTGACCTTTGAAGGCATAAGCATGCCTTCAAATGCGGATTAACAATCCGTAAAGAAACGTTTCTTTGCTGGAGAATATATTTGTGAATGTGGTTTTTAGTTGCACAGAAAGTATTAAAAACATAGGTAGTTTAACTTTTAATTTTTGCTCACAAATCGCAAAGCTACATGCATGGAACCTGATGGACGTGTTTCAAATCAGCACCTATGCTTTCTTATTAATGTAAAAGACAGGAAAGCAATACGTTTGGCCCGCATTAATTTAGCGAAATGGGAATTTGCTTCTTGGCAAGAACATCACAAGCACCGAGATTGTAATTTGTATTATACTATTTTTTCTTTGTATTTAGCCTATAAACGTATATATTTTTACATAAAAATAACCACTTACCATTTATCTTTCAAATTTGAGTTCCAAAATGAAGATCGGTTGAGCAACTTCGCAAAAATATCTATTTTTCTACTTTCGAACGGTGTTTTTCCTATGCTTTTGACTGAAAACACGACCACAAAATAAATAATAAGACCAGAAGTCTCACTCGATGTCGGAATCTTTGATGTTGATGTCCCCGCGCATGTCGGCTCGCGCATCTTGGCCGCGTCTCGTTTCCAGTGTCCTAAACAAGTGTAATTTGACAAATTTACATGTAAACATTAAGGAGTGAGGAAGTTAAAACGATACCAATCGGGTTTTAGAGCTTTGGTGACCATTTTAAAAGAATATATGATAAATTCAAAGGTAAGTCTATCGTATTGCATTGTCTTAAATGAATTCTCAGCTAAAATACGGCAATAAATGGATCATAAATTTAGTTAAATTCATTGTTGACAGATCCAATGATTTTTTCCTTGAATAGCTTTACCATAGTTATTTTACCTTAAAATGTGGCTACCGAGGATATCTCTAAGAGATTTTACACAGATTATTTGCACAATCTCACGATTTAATCATGCTGATAACATGAAAATCCTTGTGCCATTGTATACTTGGCATAATCTCCACATCAATAGTTCACCAGTTCAACACTTATAAGTTATAAATTCAATATATTTTTGAACCAGTCCATATATTA